GTGAAACCTGTCCATATTTTGATGTCATGATATGTAAATTAAAAATTGTTATTTTACGGTGATAATCTTGTTTTCTTGTGCCCAATAATGCATAATTTCATTTGATAAACACGTTTAGATTGAATGGTAATTTATTATCAGTCACAAGAACGTCGAATCTGAATCACTTGAAAAAAACACGGGGGTGCTTAACTTATTTCCAGGTGTATATTAATGATTGAGTCGCTGCTTTTTTGCTGTTGTTTATTTCTAAGAAATAAATTAGCCCCACGTTTTTTTATATAAGTGTATTTAACAACAACATAAGTGAGGTTTGTATATCGGACTACAGAAACAACTTTAATTTTTTATAATTCGGCGCCCCCAAGTGGCACAGCGGTATGTCTGCTGCGGACTTACAACGCTAGAAACCAGGTTTCGATACTCGTGGTGGGCAGAGCACAGATAGCCCATTAACTACAAACAAACTTATAATTCGTATCTTCCTGTAACTGATTTGATTATGAAGAATAATTGAGAAGGGTTAATTTACTGATAGAAAACAAAAACAACAACTATAAAGTGAAAATAAAAGAGACATTATTCCAAAATACGAACTCATTTAGTTAAATTTAGCAACAAAAACGACAGACTTTGACTGACCGTGCTTTATATCGGAAATGAAGTGGTCAACATTAGTTTACATTAACAGGTGAAGCTGAACAATTTCTGTGCGAATAAATTCTATCAAGAGACAGAGTTAATGTCGAATTTTATCCAGACATATTTGGATATTAGTGCAAGTAATGATAATGATAATATGATAACTATTCAGTTACTAATAAACTGACGTTCGAACAAACATATAAAGCAAGCTGCAGCATCAAAAGCGCTGGTAAAACGCGAAATTCAATTTAATTTGATTGCTATTTGTAAAACACAATATAGGAACGTATATTAGATAACACTAGCATGTATGTGTGCTCGTAAATATCTGACGTACCGTATTTTTCGGTGTATAAGACGCACTTTTTTACCCCAAAACTTGCTGTCAAAATCTGCTTGCGTCCTATACACCGTAGGTATGAATAATATATATATATGTATATACGATATACACAAGCGATGTGTAAATAT